TCAAAACAATTGAACTAAGAAAAAGTTTTCATGATAGTAAAGAATTACTAAGAATAAAACATAAGATAAATACTGGAATGACAAATAAATGACCAACACTTCTAACAGCCTAAGCCTATTTCTTAAAAGTACAATTGAATGGAAAAAATGCAGAAAATGGTATTTTCTTACAAGCCGTATAGATCATTAATGAGCTATAAAATTCTAACAGCCAATTTAGCCTTCACTGACTCTTAGAGCTGGAAGAGCCCTATGGCCCTGGCTGGCTTTTCTTCCTCCTCCCCTTTCCTCTCTTTCCTCAACATTATGATGAAAATAAATCTCAGGTGACACGTAACTCAGGAGTGCATGGTGAACTGCTTCCTCCACCTTTTCCGCAGCCATCATGTTCCCCCTCCAGAGACAGACACGCTCATTTTCTTCTGACTCCCAAAAATGGTTCTGTGTATACTTCTAGACACTGTATCTCTTACACCATGGTCATCCTCCTGCATCCTCTCATGTAATGTGTGGTAGAAAAGGTAACTTCAGTGGCCTCACACTTTTTGGTGGCTGTGTAGTATCTGATTATGCTATGTCTACAGTGTAAATTTTTCCTGGGGAAAGTACATGTCAAAAGCAAAGACATTTAAATTTTAATCAGTAACTGCAACTATGCCCCCCCCAACTGCACTGTCATCTGTATAAGTCCTTTTTCCCACCTTTACTGACAGTACAAATCAGTCTTTGACCTCTGCCAGTTTGGAAAGTAAAAATACTCTCTTCTTACGGTCTTAATTTGCTTTTTTCTTTTCTTTTTATTATTTTTTTTTTTTTCAAAAATACATCATTCCTGTTGGTTCCATCCAGGAATGTTTCAGGCAATTTCTGGATTGTTTAGACAGGGAGCCACGAGGCTGTTAGGACAACAGAGAATCCACAAGGTGGCGAGGAGAAGACAGGGGTGATTTCTCTCTACCCTTCCGTGCTGCCCCTGACACGCGAGGCTTCTTGAGGTTCTGTTGTCATTTTCTTCCCAGCGGGGGAAAGGCCAACCAGCCTAGGGCAAGACTCCAGGCAGGCTCGAAGCCCCGGCGACGTGGCCCCAGCCTTTTGCCAGCGCCAGCGGGGCATCCACATGCGGCGTAGAGCCTGTGGGCAGAGGAAGCGCGGAAGAAACCCGGGGGGATTACCGAGGGGATCCCTCCCGCAGCACCCCTGGTTTCCCTCCCTCGGAGCCCTTGTGCAAGGCACCCCCTATCGGCCACGAGCATCTGACCAGAGACCTGTGAGACAAAGTACATACTGTGTACAACCAGGTCTACTCCATCCTGGCTTAAGTTTGCCTGTTTGAAACAGCGTACAGGTCTGCTATTCGCCAAATTCTTAAATCATGCAACTTGCTGGGATCGAACACTCGGTCCATATACATGTGTTTGTACTATCATGAATCAGCAAGCAGAAAAAGCAGGAGGTTCAACAATATACAGTATATAACACACGTTAAATAAAAAAGCATTACGTCCCATAGGAATATCCACGATATACGTGGCTATAAATGGACCCATTTAGCCGCAGGATAAACTGCAGTGAGAACTGGAAAGGCGGTATCAACCTGAGTGGAAGAGTGAAGAGAGGAGTGAGGAGAAAAACTAAGAACAACTTTTGACTTCTGATTACATCTCTTGATTGAATTCCTTAAATGATAACATGTCCTGCTAATTTTAAAAACAAATGCCCATTATATATCAAATTTTAAAAATTAAAGTGCAGCTCCACACATCTGGTATGGTATGTCACACAACCCTAGATGTTAGCTATTCCATGAGATGTTTGGAAGGAAGGTAGGGCGCCACTGATCCCATGGAGGGGGGTAGTGCCTGGCGATTTTGGTGACAGTGGGGTTCCAGAGCCACAGTGCCAAACACCAGCAGTGGTGTTAAGCCAGGAACAGCAACTTGAATTCAAACAGACTCTGCTATGGCACTGACTGAGCAGGAGTCAGCATTACACTGTCCTCACCCTCCCTCCTCCCCAGAGCTCCCCAGAGAGGAAGGTCAGGGTTCTAAATTGACATATGTGTAAATGGGCTCCAGGGGCTCTTTGTGACATAGGCAGTACGTAGCCATTCCGCTCGCAGCCTTTGTTCTGTGCCTGCAACACAAGGCCTGGAAGACCCCTCAGCACTGAGGGGACAGTTCCTACAAGCTGGGTCCTGTGGCTACGTGACACATGGCAGAGCTCATGGCTCAGGTCTCACTACCCTCTCACTCCCCTACCTTTGGGTGAGGCCTGTGACAAGCACAGAAGAATGAAGGGTGCCCCAAGGATTCGGGAAGCACCTGCTCCAAGTGTACCTGCCATCCATGGGTGTCTAAGTCATAGAGACAGGACGTGCACTGGTGGGAATGGGAGATGCTGTTTAGCAGGCACAGAGGTTCTGCTTGGTGACATGGGAAAGCTGTGAAGCTGGAGGGTGGAGCAGGAGTCACAACAGTACACGCATGTGCTGCGGCTTGAGTGAGTGCTCCCCAGAGCTCCCCAGAAAGGCTTGGCCGACCACCTGGGGCACCATTAGGGTGTGGTAGAGCCGTTAAGGGTGGAGCCTAGTGGAAGGCAGGTCACCGAGGGGAGACCCTGGCAGGGGACACTGAGCCCCACCCCCTGCCATCTCTTGATTCCCCAGTTGTCATTTTCAGCCTGTTCAGCCACGTCCTCCTGCCGTGAGGTACTGCCTCTCCACGTGCTCTGGCCACAGGCCTGAGCCACCACGGACTGAAACTTGTGAAGCCAGGACTAACATACTTCAACTATCTCAAATGTTTTCTTGTAGCAGCAACTGACTAATAAGTGCACTCAGCAGGACTGTACTCTGTGCTGGGAAAACATGACGATGGAAAGCTTCAGATTATCTCCATTTTATTGCAATTTTTTAAAGTTAATAAATACATTAAATCCCTTTTAAGTTTCAAGAGGGAGCAAATCACTGTGCTGGGAGATTCCCATCCGGGAAACGTGACCTCAGAATACATATCATGCTTGACTGTAATTCAGTTAAAGGAGCCTTGAGAGTATGCTATTGTCCCCTCCAAGAAGAACGTAAGTTGTCGTTTCTCAAATATTCACAATTCATGTAACATTGTAACATAGTATAAGTTTAATAGAATGGCTATCATATAAGAATAAATGGAAAGCTTTTCTGTCCCCACCGGCAAGTCTTCACGTGTACACAGACAGGAGTAGCACAAGTGCTCCGCATAATCGCTCCATCAGGTTGCCCATCCTTCTGTGACCTAAGGAAGACCCTCCAAGTGACCTGACCACTTGGGACAGGTCAAGTTGATTCACAGATTTAGCTGATCACAACAGGGATCCCAGGCTGGGAAAGTCATCTCCAGCTAGCATATGTAGAAAAAGATGGCAGCTTATTTTGGTTTCCAGGTGTGGACCCTCAGGACCAAACCTAAGAGTCACCCCCAGGTGGGGCACATGGCAGTGGGCTTCCCATACCATGCAGCTGACCACTGAGGACAAGCAAGGCCTGTCCACAGCCTTATCTGCTCAGAAAATGGGCCCAGGCTGGAAAAGCCATCTCCAGCTAGCTCGTACAAAATAAAGGATGCAGATTCTCCTGGCGTCCAGACAAGGACGCTCACAAGTTCAGAATCAGGCACTGTTTTCAAAACTAGGATTCTTGGGGTATATGTCGCTGGGTGAGAAGTTCAGAATCTCTTCCAGGGAGGGGCCTTCATCATTGGGAGTAATTTCAGATTCAAACATTCGCTGCAGCAAGGCATCCACAGTCCGGTATTCTAGGAGAAAGGGACACATGAGATCTGTTGGTATGGGAGTGCCGGGGAGTCCTCAGCCTGGCTAACCCAGGCTCTCCTGAAGGACCGTCCTGCATGGAGACTAAACGCCAAGCACTGTAACCAAACCGGGTTTGAGAGGAAGGATGCAGAGGGACCAGTTACTCTCTCTGCTGAGTGGATTGCTTGCAGTCCCGCCCTCACAGCCCTGAGGACTGAGAAGTCTTCCTCGGGATGCTCACACTTCTCCTCCTGTGATCTGCGCTACGCTCCAGACCAAGCTCAAACCAAGATCAGCCTGGCTCAGGTTTACCCCGCAATTGTTAATTCATTGAGAATCAGTGAAACAGACACAAAGACTTGTTAAGGGCTGGTAATGGTTGATCCATTGTCTCAGCTTGAGAACTGAGAGGTTTAGAAGCTTAACCAATGGGCTCAATGGGGCCCGGGTCCTTACTTTGTAAACATCTTGGACCTGTGCAACAGGAAAGCACAGATAAGGCCTAAGCAGACAGCCTGCGTACAAAAGAGGAAAAGAGGCTGCTTCCCGCTTTTTGCTCTTACTGCTTTTCTGTCTTCTGCAGCCTTGAACTGTTGTCCCTGTGCCATACTGCTCTGTCTTGGAGCCAGCTGATTATGGACTGAAACCTCCACAAACTGTAAGCTAAATAAACCTTTCCTCCCTTAATTTGAGGTATTGGGTATTTTGTCTCAACAATGAGAGAAAAGTAACCAAGACAGAGGTCCTATGCCCCAGAAACATCATTAGACCCTAAAGACCCCCGGAGAACACAAGAGCCGTGCGTGGCCCTGCACATACACTGTGTCACATCTGCAAGGACGACAGAATCAGACCAAAATAGTCACTGAGTAATGAAAGTGCCCCTTCCAGGAAAGCAAAGCTGGGGCCTCACAGAACACCTGGCCTTCTTGGGGATCATGGGGAGAGGAGGTCCCCTGAAAAGGGCTGCCTGGGTAAGCCAAGGAAGGAAGCAGCATTTACAAAGGCTCACAGCAGCATGGAGGGACGGAGCAGGCAACCAGGAGCTGAAAGGTCAACAGGAGTGGCAGGGGTGGTGGCTGCGAAGGAGGGAGGAGAGGCAGAAATTTTGAGACACCAGAGCTACATGCAAGCAGTGAGGGGCCTGTTCCTTGCCCTCAAGCCACCCGAAACCACCCATGGCTGGACCTGTGCTCAGGACAGCGAAGTCCACTCCAGCTTTGCATCTAGTGAGACTTACTTTTTGACGCAATTCTAAAGTACAGTCCTTTCGAGGCCTCTGCCCTGTTGTCACCGTCATTGCCACCGAAGCTGGAATCCCTGGCACCTGTGTCACCAGTGAGCTTCCAGTCCTGCATGTCTTCCCTTGGAGCAGGAAGAGAGCACAGGAACATAGTCAGCACCTGCATCAAAGCCCCTGCATGGCCTTCCAGCTGTGGCCCAGTGGTCCCCGTCCAGCACAGAGGACCAAGCCAGATGCCAGTGCAACACTGACAGGTTAAACATGGTCAGAGTCTGAGTCACCGAGGGAAGCAGGCTACTCACTCCTGGATTCCCACTCCGAGCTCCTGGATCTTCTTTTCTATGGCGGTTTCTATCTCACTCTTTCCTAATGAATATGCCACAAAGAATGCCTCCAAGATGAACGCTATGAAAATACTGAGAGAGAACAAGGGTAAGAGGCAGGGATTTGCCACAATGATCTGGAGGCCCTGGCCTTTCCTTTCCCGGAGTACATGTTCTGATATTTCAGAATAGAAATAACCCCGGTCACCTTCCAGAGAAAGGTCACCAGAAGCCAGGGGTTAGATCAGAGGCACCACCTACATGGCCACCTGCTCTGTCTGGCCCTGGCCACACTAGCCTTGGGGACTGGCAATCTGCTCATTGCTCTGGTCATGAGTTACAGACTGTCTTTGTCTCTGACAAAGAGCCCAGTCCTCCATCTGTGCAGGACACCAGCCTGGTGGTCTGCAGTGGATGAACTCATGGACTGTTCATCATGGATCCTTCATCTGGTTTGAGGACCACAGCTCTCAGTGCTCATGAGCTCCTCAGAGGAGAGCAGAATCATCCCCACAGCCTATTTTTGTTATTCCCTCTGCCCATGCTAGAACTTAGCACTGTCTCCCTGAACCTCTGAGGGTAGCTCTCTCCCTCCATCTATGTGCTTTTCTCAGGCTCCTCCAGTTCAACCCCCTGCCGGGACATTCCGGAGACATTCCTGGACTACAGTCACAGACAGTGGATGGCCAAAGCAGCACCAATGTAACTAGACAGCCCTATGCTTGGCTGTCACCCCAAGAAACCCAGTCTCCAGGCTCTAGGAGGGAATGGACCACCCAAAACCCATTACCTCCTAGAGAATCATGGGAAAGAAGCATAGTGGTCATAGGAACTTGGTCAGTGCAGTTCACATATGGAACCAAAGAACTAGAGTCAAAGCTTTTGAGGGTTGTCCCTGTCCTATTGTGATCTATCTGGGTACATTCCTAACCTACTAGCACCTGCCAAGGCACATTCCTGTTCCACTAGGACCCACCAGTGGGAATGTCCTCACCCTACCTGAACCCACCAAAGAACATATGCCCATCCTATTAGGACTCATCAGGGACATGTGCCCATCCCACTAGGACCCACCAAGGACAATTCCCATTCTACCCATGGAAATGCAAAGGACCAGTGCAGAAAACCAAAGGAACTGACTCCCTAGGGTGCAAGTGGATCCCACAGTTGGGTGAGCTGAAGCAGATGTGGCACAGCTGGTGTGTGGGAGTTGATTCAGTTCTGGGGGGAAAGGCAGGAAGATCACCCAAGACCCTGGATCCCTTCTGAGGCCCTCAGATGTACATTACACACTGAAGTGCAAGACACAGGTGCCCACCCAGAGGAACACAAATGTCAACAGAAATGAGACCCCTCCTGTCCACGGCTCAAGCTTCAGTGGGGCAAGGAGACACACACACACAGCCTACCTGAGGGTGAAACAAGGAAGAACAGAAGTGCCCAGTAGTTGGCCCTTCTGAAAAAGAGCCCGGGTGTCCCGGGTGGTAGGAGGCTACTCACTTAACAATAAGGATGACGACCACAATGTGGAACAAGATGAAGTACAGCTTTGCCACCTGATGTGTCACGAGGGCAAAGCCACCTGCGAGGAGTGGAAGGCTAAGGAAGCAGACCTCTGAGAAATTCAGCAAGTTGGGGAGGCATCCTTCTCTTTCCTAGTTGACTTCTGGCAGGCACCAGGCCCCTCCAGGAAGCAGCAGCGGACCCCTGCCAGTCCCCTCCCCAGAAGGATATCATGCCACTGGTTCACGACTGTGAGCTCCATCAGCACAATGAAGGAAGAGGCCAGGTCGTTGAAGTTGTTCTTGCAGTACCTGTCTCGGGCAAATGCTGACCCCTTCAGGGCTGGGTTGCCACACACCAGGGCATCAGGTGATGTGATATTTGGGTCAAAGAACTGGACTTTGCCATGGAACAGCTCCATCCCAATGACAGCAAATGCGTAGTAGACCACCTAGGATGGGAGGCAGCCAGGAGTCACCAAGGGGCGCCCAAAGGACAAGACAAGGAAAGTGCAGACCTAGGGAGATCTCCCCATGAGCAGCCACCTCCCATTCTGAGGGTGAACAGGGGCCCCACTGTATTCCCAGCAATGGTCACTGACTCCAGTCAAGAGTTCCAAGCAGCCTCAGGAAGAAAACAGAATGGTGTTGCTACCCAGAAAATCCAAAGTATCCGAGCAACACCATAGGGCCCAACCCTCTGGACTACCCGATCTCCCCTGGGCCTCTTTTAAATAAAGCTTACTGGAATCTAATACCCCCATGCCCTGAGCATACAATATAGTTTGGGTGTTCTTTTTCATGTTCAAAAAGATTTATTTTTAAAAATGGAAAGGAAAGAAAAGGAGGCGTACTGGGAGTTGTCAGACATGAGCCTCTCACTACTGATTTCACACCAAATAGCAATAGAGAGCAGTTACTTACAAAGACAAGCCCACCAAATGTCAGCATCGTGGGACCGATATTAATCAAAGTTGTGACTATCACCCGGAACCTAGGATAAAACAGTTTCTGATGTCAGGAAGAGGGGAAGGCAGGAAGCTACAGGAACCCCATAGCATGGAGGGTTTACGATCCCCACCCTGGTCCTGCATTTGGGCCTAGACATTGGCAGCACTTGGCCCAAGGATTTGTCAGCATTGCCCCCCATGCCATCAACTAAGTTACAGTGCACCAGCAGTTTCCTCTGGAGCGACACAAGCCAGCTAGACCAACATCAGAAAGGGAATTATGGGAAACTGCACTAGCGAGATGTGCGCTGAGGCTGGAGAGCCACTCTACTGCCCCTGCTTTCCTCCCCTGCCTCTTTCCTCCATCACAATCGAGCCTGACTTCAGGCTGTCCTGGAGGCTTAAGTCAACAGTTGAGTACTTTCTAGAGAAGTGAGCCAGCCCCCAGATGTGGGAAGGAAGCGGACCTATCAAAACCAAGGCTGGGTTTGTTCAAGCCTTGGGGTCAGACTGGAGTGTGCACCCTGCTTCCAACTCTTTCCAGCAGGGCACCACCGGGAGAGGGACTTCACATCTTTGTGCTTCAGTATCTTCACTTGGAAGCCAGGGATATGAAAGTCCCCATAGCAAGGATTGGCAGTGGAGTTTGATAAGCAAAAGGGTAGCATGCTGGAGTTAGCATCAGCCACCACCTTTTGCAGTCACCATGCAGGCAGGCACAGTTCAGAACCCAAAGTGACCATCAGATCCCCTCAAGGAGCTGACATCTTAGTTCTCTTTACCCATCTACACTGGCTTCTGTCCCTTCACATTCCCCCAGCAACTCCAGGTCATCCACACGAGCTACGTTCTGGGTCCACAGGTAGGGCTGAAGCAGGGCACTCTGGCCTAGGTGCAGCCACTGCACCTCACTCCATCCGTACCTCTCAATGCTGATGATGACCCTCAGAAGCCGCAATATCCTCAATATCAAGACAATATCCAGGATCTGGCGACTGTTATATTTTTTTGCTAGGGAAAGAACACAGTTCTGTAAACACTATTTTCTCTGGAGCCCCTCTAGCTTGCCCCTTTTATTCAGTGGGATCTGAGACTCTATGGACCCTGGGGAACCATGAAGCTTCAATTCAATAACAGACAATGAGGACTGGGACTGTAGCTCAGTGGTAGAGCGCGTGCTTAGCATGTACAAGGCCTGGGTTGGTTGGATCTCTAAATTAAAATAAAACACCATGATAATGTCTCTGAGCTATGAGGAGGCAGGTGATGTCTTGAATCCCAGACTACTTCTACAAGGCAAAGCCTCGCCAGGCAGTGCAAAAGCTGGGACTTCACCCCAGTCTCCAGAGCTGAACTATGTGTGCAGCTGTGGACTTCATTCTCAAGCAGTGACTGTGGATCTGGTTGTACAGAACTGCAACAAACCTTTCTTTCCCCAGAATTCATCTCATGATGTTCAGAAGCTATGCCTTGTCCGCTAATCCTACCTGCTGTCAACAGGAAGAAGAAGGGATGGGGTTGGGGGAGGGGAGAGCCAGGGGAGGGGAGAGACAGGAGAGTGCTGGGCAGGAAGGATGCAAATTGCTGCTGTGGTGGAAGTGGTGAGAGGCCAGTGCAGGCAGAAAGTCAGCCCAAGACAGAGGTCCAGTTTTGGAGACTTGACCAAGTGAATATTCAGGTGATGCTGCCTTATGAACAAAATCTCTAAAGTACTGTACAGCTAAACACAAAGAAAACCACCATCCCTCTCGAGAACTCGGAACTCTTCTAGTCATTCTCTGGTGGTCCCATTCTCTGGCCTCTAGTTCTTAGGTCATGGTGGATGTTCAACAAGACTACTGATCAGATACCCATCCTGGCAAGTGGTGAAGCCAACAGCTGGTGGCACTGACCTGACTGAATGGTGGCATTTGCCATGGTGGCCACCAGAGCTGCAATGATGATTAGCATGTCAAACCTAATGGAACAAAAGTAAAGTTGGTTAGGAATCTAGGAAACACTCAGGGCACCACAGGCTCCAGGAAAGCCCTGTATCTGGTATCTCATGCAAAGCAATGTTCTAGCCAAAACCTAATTTCTGAAAATTTTTGGATGGTGACTATGAGGACAAAAACATTGTGTTTGGACGACCCAATTTTCAGCCACTGGATTTTCTGAAGGGTCATCCAAAGGAATTTGTAGGAATCAGCTAATTCACATGACTATGTCTTCCACGGTAAGTCTGCACATGTAACGATACTTGATCCATTTTCAGAATACACTATTGGTACTAATTTTTATTAAGTGCACTATAACTTTTCAATCAAAGATATATTTCATGATGTCATGACTTTACACTCCAACAAGGCTGCCAAAAAACAGAAGAATACTGCACAGTACTGACCACCTCCCCTGTGCCTGCATGTACTTTGCAGCGTGTTTCCTGGCTAATAGAGTGGTGATCCCGGAGATCCAGCCCTCATGGGCTGTGAAGAACCTAAGGCCTGTGACTTGTACCTTTGTGGTGGAGGTTTCTGACCAAGAGAGTAAGGAGGGGCCAAGGAAGCTACGAAAGGAATTGCCTCCTTAAGCTAACCATTGCAAGACTGTGGCAGTAGAAGTGCATCTTTGGTCTTTATCTTTGGCTCAAAACTCCTAGCCAGAACTCCTAAAATCCCTATAATTTCGAAACTAAAAACTCTAGGTCGAGAGTGTCAGAATTGAATCAGACTGTAGAACATCTGCTTAGATAATTGGTTGGTGTAAGGAAAAATCTCACACTTTTGGAGTCAGAAGTATGACAAGAGTAGAGATAAATGATTTGTTGTCTTTTTTTCCTATGTTTTCATTTGGTTTTGTTGGCTTTTGTTTGTTTGTTTGCTTGCTTGCTTACTTTAGTATTGGGGGATTGGACCCAATCCTTTGCACTGAGCTCTAGCTCCAGCCTCTTTTTTAATATTTTATTTAGAGACAAGGTTACACTTAGTTGTCCAGGCTAAGCTCAAATATGTGATCATCCTGCCTTAGCCTTCCAGACAGCTGGGAAGATCAGTATGTGCTACTACACTTGCCTGTTCTCCTGGTATTTTTGTTTTGCTTTGTTTTTCGCTACTGGAGGCTGAACACAGGGCCTTTGTCCTAAGCTTCATCTCAAGCTCTTCTTTTATCTTTTATTTTGAGACAAGGTCCCACTAGGTAAGCAGTTTTCCCAGGTTGGACTCCAACTTATGATCCTCAATCTCCCAGAGTGCTGGGATTTTAGGTTCAGGCCACCATGCTTGACTTGTTTTCATATTTTTAAAGATCCTTACCAAGTCAAAGATCCCATGGTCTGTGACTCTAATTTTAGCTAGAGTCAGTCTCAGTTTACATCATGAATAACAGCTTTCACTGAACCAGATGTTCCCTGTCCCCAAGATCTCATTATAAGATGCCTCAAAACCAGGCAGATGGAGCTTGGAGACTGCCACCATATGCCCACATCTGTGACAGGAAGTCCCCTCTTAAGCCCCTTGGCCACCTCTTCCCTCCCAGGGCACCACTTACCAGTTCCAGAACTGCTTCCTTCCAAAATAAGCTCCGGGCTCATATGTGTACAGTTTCAAGAGGATCTCAATAATATAGAGAGCAAGAAAAAGCCATTCTGCATAGGAAATGAAGGGGTGTTTCTCATCCAGAGCAATGAATACAGCATTGATTAGAATGATGATGTCATACACCCAGACAAAAGCCCTGGCAGGAATAGAAATAAGACATCTTGTCACCCCCTGTTTCAGCAAAAGGCACATGATTCTGTTCAAGGACTCATAGGGGCTAGTTTATGTCCTGACAACATTGTGAGTACAGGACACACACACACACACACACACACACTCCTCATCTATGGAGGTATCCACCGGCCTCCCACATGGTGCAGCCCTCTTCTCTAGGAGAAAAGGAGAACAGTGCAAGGGCAAGGGACAGAAGAGTTGTCATCCCAGGTTCCTCTGGGGTCCACACCTGATCAGATGAAAGCTTAGCAAGAACCAGGGGCAGGGAGAAGATCTGAGTCAACACAGGATGGCCCCTAGAAAATGCACATCCTCAACTAAGAAAGCCTCTGATGGCCCCTTCGCCCCTCATGCACACCAGCCTCCTGGGGGACTGGCCACCCATCTTCCTCACCAAGTTGGGACAGACAGCAGGTAAACAAAACATGATAGCTTGGTCCCCACCTGACTATAGCCTGGACCAGGCCACCCTGGGTGGCTTACGTGCCATCTTTTGTGCCTTGGGGATCCCTGCCAGGTGCATGGCTATGGGAAATCAGGGGAGGGGCCACCCCAGGGCTCACTGCGATGCTGCAGACCCAAGGCCCAGCACCCTGGGAAGAGACAGGCACAGGGACTTCCCCTGCATGAAGTGCCACAGTGCAGTGTCGGGATTAACAGCAAAGCATCTGTACATAAAGATGGGTAATTAACAAATATAAAGGGGACATTTACTTGTATCAGGGACTTCTGAACTAGACACTTTCGTTGTTGTTGCTGTTGTTGTTGTTGTTGGACACAGAGTCTTGCTAAATAGTCCAAGCTGGCCTTGAACTCACCATGTAGCCCTGGCTGGCCATGAACTCATGGTGATCCTCCTGCCTTAGCTTCCAGAGTGGCAGGATTACAGACGTACACTGCCTAGCCCCGTTCACTTTTTTGAAACATTAAATGCCAAAATAAGCAAAAAGCCACTGTGGCTAGAATGAGCTTCAACTGACGGGGCACTGCAGGATCATATATTAAGAAGAAGGAACACCTAAAACTAGGATAAATGGCTGTTCCCAGAAGCCATCGGTCTGTTTGAAAGTAAAAGAATGAGCTAGCCTCCCTGACAATGTTTCCAACAATGCTAACTCGTGAACTCTGACCATACACTTTTCAGAACCACAGTGTCATGTTGGATACCAATTTTATATTTACTCTGAGGCTGGAATTTCCTAAGCTCAGTGTGGTCAGCTTCCTTGGCTCAGAGAGAGCATGTGGTCCACAGTCCTCAAGCATCCTAGGAAGCATCCAGGAGGAAGCTCAGCCTAGAGCCCATGCTTGTAGCTAAGGCCAAATGCAGCATGTCCAGAGCCCTTCCCACGCCTTCCTTAGAAACCACAGCAGTGGGCAGCTGTGGATGAGACACGCTCGGTCCAGATGGAAGGAACAGCTAAGGAGGAAAATGACCCGCCCCTTTTACTTGCCTGTGCCGAACCACCCTCTGGACCCAGAGGCTCGGGGATGACTGGTAGACCTGCGGCATCCAAGCTCCCAGCGGGTGCCTCCTGAGGTTCACAGTGACCACCTGGATGTTGAGGAGGTCAGCCAGGCGGAGAAAGTTCATCTTGTCTGCAATGAGAAAATGACCCCACCACCTGTGGCCATGGCGATACTAAGGTTAGAGAGTAAAGCCAACTCAGGGAACACTCGGCTCCACATTCTACAGTCAAATACTTACCCTCCCCCCACTTGAGGCCAGGGCAGAAGGTGGAGCCAGGTGATCCCAGGCCTCCCTCCTGCCCTCACACGGATCCACACCACCGCAAGGGAGTCCTCTGGGATTTGGCTAACTCAAATCTGGCCCAGCGCAGCTTTCAGTGCCCACCATGACCCAGCTTTTCAAGCATGGCTCCCTTTCCCTTTTTCTCTATAAAGCCTTTGAACACAAAATTCCACAGCATCCACAGGTGCTCACGTGCTCCCCAGGCCCAAGTACAGCAGGTGCTTTCCTGAGCCACCAGGCCCTACCCAACTGCAGAGCTGCTGTTTCCAACCTGCTAGATCTCCCCTTCCCACACCAGCAGCAGCAGGCTATTCTGTCACTCCAGGGAGCTGTCCCCTCAGCCAGGGCGCCTGGCCAGCTCCCAGGCTATGTATGAATTGTGAGTAACAATGTAATTAAAGAAATATCACATCAACCAGTGGACTCAGAAGGCGCAAACCCTGTTGCTACTTCTTTGAAAACTAAATTGGGGCTGGCCAAATAGCTCCACAGATTAAAGCGCCTGCAGGCAGGCGCAGGGGTCATGGGTTCGAGCCTCTGGCCTGCTGTTCTGGCCCTGCTCCAGGGGCACGCTGAGATGGCAATTGAGACTGGGCATGGTGGCGTGTGCCTGTAATCTCAGCTCTTGGGAGGCTGTGAATAGGCGGATCACTACGAGTCCAATCTAGTAATGAGACCCTGAACACCCTGTAGATCCTTCCCTAAAATAAAAAATAGAAAAAACTAAATTGAATATTTCCAGAACTCCAAAGAAAGCTGCTGAAATACATAATTGGTACAAATCAAGACAACTGAGAAAGACAGAGGCAGAAGACTGGAACCTGGAGGAAGCTTCTCGCTTAGAGCAAGTGTGTCCACTTCCATTGTCAGAAATAAACAAAGAACTGTGGTGCACAGGTGGCAGGTCTGGTCTGCTGCGGTTTATGCAAGGAGGAGGCTGCAGAACTGCCAGCACAGACGCCTAGTAAGGAAGAGGCCTCAGCCTTGTCAGGGGGGGCCTGACTCAGACAAGGTCTTGAGTGGCAAGAAATGCTCAGGTTGCTGTTTTCCGTTAATGCCATACAGTTCCAATGAAAGGGTGTGAGTCTGTCAAGTTGGGTGAAAAACACACTTCAATCTATTAGAAGATGTTGAGGTCCCAGGCCTTTAGAGTTAGAAAAAAAACACACCTGCACATCTTAACAGGGAAACCTAAAGCCCACATGGGTAGAAGGCAGCCAGAGAACTGGGTGACATGCACGGTAGGACCCAGGGACCTGTGTCACATAAGCTCCACAACAAGACTATGGAGACATGGTGATGACAGCTGTCACGAGGGTTGGAGGCAATCTGATAGGGTCACTGCCAGGAATCCTGCCAAAATCCTTGGCCACTAAGTAACCTCAGATCAAGAGAGAATCCATCAGTCTCCCTGGATCCACAACTTCTAACTCAGAAGATACAAAGACCCAAGAAAATGAAGACTGTAGTAGCTCTGTGTGAAGGAGTTTGCACCCATCAGCTGCTTAAGGTAGTGGCTCAGGCACCACTGAGTTAGCCCAGGAGTTAGCATGTTAGGCCACCAATGAGCTAGCCCAGGAGTTAGCAAGTTAGGCCATCAGTGAGCTAGCCCAGGAGTTAGC